CCTTCTACATGAAGGACACAGAGCGCATGTACTTGTGTCTGTCTCAGGAGCGGATCATCCAGTTCCAGGTTGGTGACATCTCTTAATTCTGCATTTGAAATATATGGTGGGATGAATCCCAACAAAAAAGAAAAACAGTGCTTCAAATTAAATAAAATGAAACATAAAATCAGCTGTGTGGTGTTGTGGTGAATATACCAAAAGATAAAAAAATCAGATGTATTTTGAATTCCACATAAAGTTCACTTGACTCAAATATCACAGCACAAAATAATCCAAAAAACCAATGATGATGATCACTGAACAAGTGCCTTCTGAATGTTTTGTGCAAAGCTGGTCAACCTGTGCCTCTCTGCTAAGCTTGCTTCTGATTAGTGGAAAGGGTGATTTATTGCTGTTGTACATACAAATATGATGGACTGCCGTTTGAAAGTCTATAGAATCTTCTAGAATAAGGGGGAAACAGGAAATATATTTTTAAATATATTTTGCCACATGTGTTGCAGTGCTGGAGAGGTTCAAGATACAGGACATGCACCTTTTCCCATATTGACAAATGTCAGATCACATTTTCCCAGCATATAGTTGATTGCTGGAAACATATTTAATCAGATCACCTATTTATTACAATTTAGGAATGGAGTCCAAGCAGGGAATACAATTTATTGATCAACTTTAAGATACAGGAATTTAGCATTCTTAATTGTGCACAGGTAGCAGAAAATAACTTTGAAAAACTGATCACAACATTAGCCTGTTTTTTTTAAATCGTGAATTATTAACATTGTGAATTAGAGTAATTTAATTCTGAAGTAATTTTCAATTTTTGTGAATATGATTAGCTCAATCCGAGCAAGAGCTATCAAAATTCAGAAATAGATCATCCGTAAATGTTTAAGAAATGTCCATTTCTTGAGACATTATTGTCTGGATATGTCAGGGCAGATCTTTTCAGTGTCAAGTTCCCCCTCATTCGAATTTTTGGGACGTTGGGCGTCCATTTGTTGTGGTCTCACTGCTGTGCGTTTATTCAAGTGTATTCCGATGGTTATACAGTATTTTTGTACTTGTTCATTGCTGCAGGCAACCCCTTGTCCAAAGGAGCCCAACAAGGAGATGATCAATGACGGCGCTTCCTGGACCATCATCTCGACAGACAAGGCAGAGTACCAGTTCTACGAGGGCATGGGACCAGTGCGGAACCCTGTCACACCTGTGCCAATTGTTCACAGTCTCCATGTAAGTGAATAGATTCCCTCATTCATTTTTGTTGCTGTTGACTGTTTTGATGTATGATATCCAAACTGGGAGTTTATATCGATTGAAAAAGGCCCAACATATTAATTGCAGTGTTGATGGTTTATGCAGGAGCTTGATGTGCATATGCAGTACCTCTGTAGTACCTGCATTTTGAAAGTATTCTAAAAGTATCAACATTCGAATTGAGACAAAAAAATGGACCTGAATTCAGGGAATTTTCAATTGCTTCAATGAAAAAACGTTTTCCTGATGAAATTGGTACAGAATATCACAATTTCAGTACCAACTTCCATAATGTGAACAAAGTATAGAATGCTGAACTTGGATGTGATGCTCCATTAACCAAATTATTCTTCCCCTTCCTTTCAAAACAAAACAAGTTAAATGTTTTTCTGCTTCTCTCTTTCCTGTGTGATTAGAGTAATAGCCAGAGGAATTTTGAGTTATTGAGTTTTCAAGGGAAGCTTTTGGAGTTATTTAGGAGAGTTCTCTCAAAGAATTGTTTCTAAGAGAATTCAAGCAGAGATTTGAAAAAACAAACAAACAAAAAATGACTCATTGAGGAGCAACTCAATATTATGATTAAATTTTCCTCATAATCAAACCTCTCTGGGTTGAATTTTCAAGTAACAGCAAAAAAAATTTTATGGAGGTTTTTATTCACAGATGTTTGAGTAATGGAACCAAGCATTTTTATAGAAAAAGTGCGCCTAAATTGTAAAGGGTGATATTCTGGGCCTTAATTTCTGCTTCTAAAGTGAGTTGACAGGATGCTGAATTTGGAGACAGGGGTTCATTTACCCAATTTAGTCTGTCCCATTGTTTCAAAACACATCACAGCATTTTGTTTATTAGTGCTTGTTTATTCCTCTGTCAAGATGATAATAACCCAAAGGCCTGACTTAGGGAGGTATTCAACTTAAGGGAAGGTTCAACTTATCCTGCAGGTTCAGCTGCATTTGGATCCCATTGATATCAATAGACACACAACCTAGAGCCACTATTTTCAATTGGAACAATGAATAAATAAGCCATCAGTATTCTAGAAATGATTGCGAGTCCCTGAGAAAATACTCTCTCTCTCTTTTGATTAATTTCGTTTGTTTATTTTATGCTTTATAAATTGATGAATTGATGGATTGCAGTTGAATGGAGGCGGGGACGTGGCCATGCTGGAGTTGACCGGCGAGAACTTCACCCCTGGCCTGAAGGTGTGGTTCGGCGACGATTTTTTTTTGTGTGCAGTGGATGACAACGAATGCGAATCTGAGGAATTCACAGTGCGGGACGGCTACATTCATTACGGGAGCACTGTGAAGCTGGTGTGCTCTGTGACTGGCATGGCCCTGCCGCGCCTCGTCATCAGGAAGGTGGACAAGCAGATGGCGCTGCTGGACGCCGACGACCCAGTGTCGCAGTTGCACAAGTGCGCCTTCTACATGAAGGACACAGAGCGCATGTACTTGTGTCTGTCTCAGGAGCGGATCATCCAGTTCCAGGTTGGTGACATCTCTTAATTCTGCATTTGAAATATATGGTGGGATGAATCCCAACAAAATAGAAAAACAGTGCTTCAAATAAAAAGAAACATAAATTAAGCTGTGTGGTGTTGTGGTGAATATACCAAAAGATAAAAAAATCAGATGTATTTTGAATTCCACATAAAGTTCACTTGACTCAAATATCACAGCACAAAATAATCCACAAACACAAAAAAAATCAATGATGATGATCACTGAACAAGTGCCTTCTGAATGTTTTGTGCAAAGCTGGTCAACCTGTGCCTCTCTGCTAAGCTTGCTTCTGACTAGTGGAAAGGGTGATTTCTTGCTGTTAAACATACAATTATGATGTACTGCCATTTGAAAGTCTATAGAATCTTCTTGAATAAGGGGGAAACAGGAAATATATTTTTACATACATTTTGACACATGTGTTACAGTGCTGGAGAGGCTCAAGATACAGACATGCAACTTTTCCCATGTAGACAAGTCCAAATGTCAAATCACATTTTCCCAGCATATAGTTGAATGGAAACATATTTAATCAGATCACCTATTTATTACAATTTAGGAATGGAGTCCAAGCAGGGAATACAATTTATTGATCAACTTTAAGATACAGGAATTTAACATTCTTAATTGTGCACAGGTAGCAGAAAATAACTTTGAAAAACTGATCACGACATTAGCCTGTTTTTTTTTTAATCGTGAATTATTAAAATTGTGAATTAGAGTAATTTCATCCTGAAGTCATTTTCGATTTTTGTGAATATGATTAGGTCAATCCGAGCAAGAGTTATCAAAATTTAGAAATACTGTAGATTATTCATAAATATTCAAGAAATTTCCATTTCTTGAGCCATTATTGTCTGGATATGTCAGGGCAGATCTTTTCAGTGTCAAGTTCACTCTCATTCGACTTTTTGGAGTGTTGGGCGTCCATTTCGTGTGGTCCCACTGCTGCTGTGCGTTTATTCAAGTGCATTCCGATGGTTATAATTTGGTATTTGTTTATTGCTGCAGGCAACCCCTTGTCCAAAGGAGCCCAACAAGGAGATGATCAATGACGGCGCCTCCTGGACCATCATCTCGACAGACAAGGCAGAGTACCAGTTCTACGAGGGCATGGGACCAGTGCGGAACCCTGTCACACCTGTGCCAATTGTTCACAGTCTCCATGTAAGTGATTTGATTCCCTCATACATGTTGGTTGTTTTTGACTGTTTTCATGGATGATATCCAAACTGGGAGTTCATATCAATTGAAAAAGGCCCAACATATTAATTGCAGTGTTGATGATTGATACAGAAGCCTAATCTGCAGTACCTGTATTTAGAAAATATTTCAAGAGTATCAACATTCGAATTGAGACAAAAAATGGACCTAAATGGAGGTAATTTTCAATTGCTTCAATGAAAAAACGTTTTTCTGATGAAATTGGTGCAAAGTCTCTCAATTTCAGTACAAACCTCTATAATGTGGACAAAGTATAGAATATGCTGAACTTGGATGCGATTTTCCATTGGCCAAATTATTCTTCTCTTTCCTTTCAAAACAAAACGAGTTGAAGTTTGTTCTGCTTTTTTCTTTCCTGTGTGATTAGAGTAATAGCCAGAGGAAATTTGAGTTATGGAGGTTTGAGGGAAAGCTTTTGGAGTTATTTAGGAGGGTTCTTTCAAAGAATTGTTTCCAAGAGAATTCAAGCAGAGACTTGAAACAAACAAAAAATGACTCATGAAGGAGCAACTCAATATGATTAAAAGTTCCTCAAAATCAAACCTCTCTGGATTGAATTTTGAAGTACCAGCAAAAAAATTCACTTATGGAGGTTTTGATTCATAGATGTTTGAGTGATGGAACCAAGCATTTTTGTTGTTGGAAATATAGAAAAATTGTGCCTAAATTGTAAATGGTGATATTTGGGGTCTTAATTTCTGCTTCTAAAGTGAGTTGACAGGATGCTGAATTTGGAGACAGGGGTCATTTGCATAATTTAGTCTTTCACATTGTTTCAAAACACATCACAGCATTTTGTTTTTTAGTGCTTTTTTTTCTCCCTCTGTCAAGAAAAAAATAAACCAAAAACCTGAATAAAGGAGGTATTCAACTTATGGGGAGGTTCAACTTATCCAGGTTCAACGGTATTTGGATCCCATTGATATCAATAGAAACACAACCTATAGACACTATTTTCAATTAGAACAATGAATACTGTAAATGAGCCATCAGTATTCTAGAAATGATTGCGAATCCCTGAAAAAATACTCTCTCTCTCTTTTTTGATTAATTTCGCTTGTTTATTTTATGCTTTATAAATTGATGAATTGATGGATTGCAGTTGAATGGAGGCGGGGACGTGGCCATGCTGGAGTTGACCGGCGAGAACTTCACCCCTGGCCTGAAGGTGTGGTTCGGCGACGTGGAAGCGGAGACCATGTACAGGTGCCAGGAGAGTCTGCTCTGTGTGGTGCCCGACATCTCGGCCTTCCGGGGCAACTGGGAATGGGTTCGGCAGCCGACTCAGGTACACTTCAATAACACTCCCATTAAATGATGTCATATTGCATTTTTATTCCTTCTGCTTGCTGGTATAGAGGAATTAATCAACCCAACATATGAATGAATGAATGAATGAACAGAACACTTCATTTGCCGCTTTTCAGCGTTCACAAGGTTCACTCAAGATTTCCACAACCAAACCCCACTTCCCACCCAAACCCAAATCCATTCAAAGAAATTTTAATCGCTTCAGAGCAGGAAAGCACAAATTGCTAACAAAAATAAAAGAAAATACAACTGGACATCTGACATGTCTGCATAAACCCATTCATTCCCTGACATTGGTAACAAAATATATGTAAAAATTAATTTAAAGCACAAGGTGTTCAGCTTGTTTCTCTTTGAGGTTTTGTTGAATGAACAAATTACAGAGGATCTTTGATGAGAAATCATATAAAGCCAACAGTTTATCTTGATCCTTTAAGATTTCAGAAAGGGTCTCTTCATTGAATTCCTGTACTTGTAACATAAAGAATGGAACCATAGGGCAGTGGAAGAAAACCTAAGAAATAATGAGGCAGGACAATCAGCTGGTTTGCAGCTGGGAATATGTGGTTAAGGGGGTACCTTAATTACATATCCCTAGTTTCATCTGGTTTAATCACAGTCCACAATGAATCACAATACAAAAATAATACATCACAAAAATATACATAAAAGTTTGATTTAGGGGAACAAGCGTTTTTTTTTTCTGAGGAAAAGAGAGAAGAATTCTGTAAAATTGCAACAGGTTATATTCTGGGTCTTAAATTTCTTTTTACATCAATTGACATCAGGATGCTGGAGTTGGAAGCAAAGGTTCATTTGCCCAATCAGTCTTTGGCTTCTTTTCAAAACACATCAATTCACTGTGTTATTGCTCTTCTCTTTCCATTTTCAACAGAATAATAGCCAAAATGCCCTCAAAAAATATGAATTTAAGGAGGTTATAAGGATAATTTCTTCACAGTTGGAAGCAATTCTTTCTAAGAGAATTCAAAGACTTTTAAAAAAATTGACCAAGGGGTACAGCTTTTGACTAGAAGAGGGAAGACAATTAACAAAGTAAAACTGTGTATTGCATTCTTGTACTCATATCAATCATCTTTTGGCACATGTGCAATCAAGTATTGTTCAACGAATCAATCATGGGTACCAGTTAAAAAAGATTCCTTATGGCAATGAAGAATGCCTTTGTGAAGTAACTGGTTTAACATTGTGGCTAATGCTGGGAATAGTTACCAGTAGTGCAAAACGACCTCATCATATACAGGCCTTTATTTATTGTCAAGCTGAGATTCAGATTACAATACAGTTGTGCAGTGGTTTACAGACTCAATTTGTTCCACAAACTTGTCCGTAAACCGGTATGTCTATAACCTAAAACATGATCTGCCGTAGACAGCAATGTTAAAATTTTTAATTTGTTCTGGATTTTGAAATTTTGGTGGAAACACGGAAAATTAAAGAAAACACTGACATTCTGTGACTGTACAATACCTGCACTTCATGCTTTTTCAATAATTGAAGCAATGAAGCACTTTTCTTAGGTCAATCAATTACAAAATCATTGCAAAAAAGCTCAATCAGAGTCACTTTCATCATCAATTGCCCTCTTCAGGGCACCAGATGCCCCAGCTTGACCACCTGATGGCCCAGCTGAAGCTTTAGGAAGCACATTTTTTGTGCCAAAAAAGAATTGGGAAGAAGAGGTAGTGTTCTGAACTTTGCATGCGCATCAGCCCAACTGCAGTCTGTAAAACCAGCGCATGACTGTACAACGGAACAATCACACTTCATGTTCATTCCCATATGATGTATATAGGTGCCAGTGTCCCTCGTCCGCGGCGACGGCCTCATCTACGCCACGGGCCTGACCTTCACGTACACCCCGGAACCCGGGCCCCGCCTCCACTGCCCCGCAGCCGACGGCATCTTCCGCAACCCGGTGCACCCGCAGCAGCAGCAGCAGCACCAGCTGCACCCCAGCATCCCGTCTGCGGGCCCGAGTCCCCTGGGCACCTACACCGAGCTGTCCCAACTACCACCTGCCGGCATGTAACAAAGCGAGCGAAAAAAAACCGCATATTTACCAAGCATGCAAAAACAATGATACATCAGCAACATTGAGGAAATGAGGATGTAGAGACTCCAGCTCTCATATGCCTGACGGGTGTTGATTGTCGTCACCTCATCGGAACTCTTCATCGTCACAATTACCCTCGTTGTTTGCTGTTGGTTGTTGTGGTTTTTTGTTGTTGCTGCTGGCCCTCAACAAGTCGCGTACAATCAATCAATCAATCAATCATCCCGAGTGCTGCTGTGTTTTTTTTTCTTTCTTTCTTTTTGTTTTTTTTTTTTGCTGCACGCGCATGCACATATACCGATCGTAATAATTGCAAAAATAATGATGATGAGTCGTCGCAGGGGATGGATGAGATCTCCAATTCTGCCAACTGTGCAGCATGTGTTTATTAGTTGGTATAGTGGCAAAAGCTATATAGGAAGAATATGAAGAAGAAGCAGCAGAAGCATTGCGAAAATCATATCCACTGTCATGGCGATTTTTTTTTCGCCATGACGCAAAAAGATATCATTTAATAAACAACTAAAAAGGCATTTAAATGCTCATACTGCAGGTTTTTTTTTTTTTTTTCTGTGGGTTGCCGGAAAGAAAAAGACAAATCCTTAGTGTTGCCAAGTATTTGTCTTCATGCTGCTGCAAAACCTTGGAGAGACGAGGGTTGTCCCATTTCTACGCGACTTCTGGTATTTTTATAATGCACTTGTGGTTGTGAAGAGAACCATGCCGTAACCCGCGGTGTTTGAAGGTATTGGGATATTTTACAGTTTTTAAAAACGTTTTTCAATTTACTGCGCGTTGATGTTTGAAAGCTGTCTGAAGTTACAGTCCGAGTTCTCAACTCAAGTCAGAGGGTTGTAAAAATTTGTCGATCGAACATTCAAAATTCTTCACGTAAATTGTTATGAAAAATTGAATGGGTAAAAGAAGGAAGAAATTTCAATTTTTAGTTGGCCCAACGAATTTTTATATCTCCCAGCGACGACATGTGCGGAGAACTCTGATGACTGTGTATCTGGACACTTCTCACTTCTCAGCATGCTGCAAATTGAAAGATTTACTGAAATTCCTAAAATGGAAAATCTCAAAACCTTTGATCATCATCATGGATTATACCAAGTTTTTTTTTTTAATCACTCCTACTTAGAAAGATATCAGAGCGGTCGCGTCCAACTGAGACAAACCTTGCACTCTGAATCAAAAGTATGTAACCACACTTTTTGCACACGGAAAACACTTCTGTGTGTGTGTGTTTTTTTTTTGGAGAAAGGATAGCGATAATCATTTCTAAATACCTGTTGGGTATGAGGACGAGGGACACATATTTCTCTGAACCCTTCGTGATTTTTGTTTTGAATTTTAAATATATAGGGACCAATCCCCCGAAAGCGGCAGATGAGCATACTCATTAAATTAGTGTTGCCTGTTCAATTTTTTTTTTTTTTTTGGAAGCAAGAATTTTTAGAAGAGACGGAAGTGAGGGAAAAAGATTGCGTGAATGTCGGAGAGTGACAATGCGTGTGTGTCATGCAAAGGGGTTGGGATGCGGGTAAAAAGTTTTCCCAACCAAAATGTGTATTCTGCAGCAGTTCCAAAGAGGAGGATAGTGTCTTTTTTTTTTTGTTTGCAAGTGTACGGAATAATCCGCTGAGAAAGAAAAGTAGACGAGACATTGTTTTTACCTTCAAAATCTGCTGGAATGGTTCGTCGCCAATCTATTCTGTCCAGCATCGGAAGGCTTTATAGTGTTTTATTTTATTTTTTCGCGTTATCTTTTTTTTTCTTGGCTGGGATTGACGTTCTGCATAAAAAGAAATTGTGTGGAAATGAATTTTCCATGTGATACAAGAATACTGTGATAAAAGAATATGTAATGTTTATTTCAGCTGGATATGTCAGTTTATTGGAAGCGTGGGGATGAATAAATGAGCAGACAATCCAAGCTTTGAGGCATGAGCATGTCTTTTGAACAACTTGTGTGTTTCTTTTCTCCGTATCCAGCATTTCCAATCAACTCAATTATTTTGCTGCTGTGCATTATACTGATGAAATTGGGATTTGAACAGGGTTCTCAAAGCTGCCATTTTCTAAACTCTTTTTTTTCAGTGAAAAAATTTTCAATTGCTAGAATCATTCCTAGGATGATCTCAATATGGATGACAAATTATCCAGAAAAATGATGGAAAGCAAAGTTTCTCCATGCTTGCATTTAATCGATCATGGACATCACAATATACTAAATTGAATATCATGTTTTGTCTTTCCAAATCTTGAATTGCACAAATTGTGAATATGATGTCAATAAGATGAACAAATTTGCCAACTCTTTTCAAATTTTTTGATGCAACTTTTGCTGAAGAATTTAAAAAATGTATGCAAAAGAATGAATTGGAAGGAAAATTTCAATTCCTTACAAGGAAGAAAATTTAAAAAAAATGATTTCATAATTTTCAGGTGGTACATTGCAATTTGACTTTAGCCCATTGATCGACTGGGGTCAACTTGCAAAGAAGTCAAATTGTGTGACAAGTGATAAAATTAAGTAATATGAGCACAAAATTACAAAGAAGAGGCAAAAATAAGGTCAAATTCCATGACAGAGATCAAATTGCAAGTCAACCTCCCTGCAAACTCAACTGTCAAATTCTGGGACAATTAAATTGCAGGAGGTTGAATTGGAAGGTACAACATGCACAAACAAAATTCTCAGAATGACACCATTCATTGACTGTTGAATTGTTTTCATTTTCCCCCACTGAAATAACTGATTTATTGTGGTTCTGGTTTTCATAGTGTATTTTATTCAGCTGTACAATATATGAATGGATGCAAGTAAATTACTGTACTGCAATCCCAGCAAATAATTTGTTACAGGAAGGGCTTGGTGTAACAGCTATGGATTTTGTCATGTATTTGTTGTGCATAACTATTACACACACCCTCTTCTGCTATGCCTTCCTAATTTCCACTGTTTTTCATAAGTGGTGTAATGAAAATTCTTCTGCAATGCACTGGGAATGCATTTTTAATTCATTCTATTGTTACACTTGCACATTAAAATTTTTGGATGTACTTTTCTTGAGTGTAGCAGGCAGGTATTTGAAAACACCTGTCTGAAAATACCAAAAACTCTTTGTTTCAGATTTTCCTGGGAGAGAAGGATTTCAAAACACCTGAATGCTACACTAGGAAAAATTGATTCCTTATAATTTTATTGGGTGTAGCAGGCAGTGTATTGAAATGTCTGCCTGGTAAAGTCAAGAAAAAATGCATGCATTTTGTGGCTATATAATGGTGTTAAAATACTGTGGTGTGTCAAGGACTCAAGGTACATATGGCAGTATTGTTGTCCAAAAAAACTATTATAACCAATAAAGCAACTGTGGTGATCAATCACTGTTGTTTCTTATTGTTATAGCTAAGACATTGAATCAAAGGTTTAAATTGTTTTCTGCGACTTTCAAAGAGTACGCAAAAGTTACTCCATGAGCATATACCAAGTAGTTTTATTTTATCCTTCACACAGTAGATACAAATACAATTGTTACAAGGCAAAGCAAAGTCAACAAGGTGTTTGGCCAGAGTCAGGTGCAGTAAACTCAACTGAACATAAAATGCACCAGTATATATAGCCTTGGTTGGCCAAGGTTGAGAAACGCGTATAGAAACCAATTAGGATTGAGGGCATTGTTGGGCCTGAATCAACAAAGGTTGGAGGAAATAATCAAACCAGGTCACTCAGCCTTTAATGGCTGGATCCTCCTGAAGGGAGTCTCTGAGAGCTCTATTTCTATCCCACACAACAACTCAAACGCAACCATGCAAAGCTCCAACACAACCAAACAAAATACAGGGCAAGCCAATCAATCCAATAGCAGAACACACAAACAACAGCAAGTACCCAACAGAGTCCCGCACAGCTCTTGCATCCTAATTGTAGTGAATTCCTTGCATGCATACAAAAGCTCTTGCTTTGGTTCCTGAGATCATTTTCTCATTATCTTGTCACCCAGTTTGCCGCATTGTGGCAGACCAGATGCAAGATCCAGATTTTGTTTGCAGTGCTGGTTGCTGCGCTGGCGTGCCCAAGCAAGGATGCTGTTGCTTGGGTCAAGCCGCGTGTCTTCCTCTCCTGCAACCCCACAGGCATCTTACTTTGTTTCTTTAAAAGGAAGGAAGCAAAAGTGCAGTTGGGAAAGTATTCCATGTACAACAGGATTGTGAAATATAATTGATAGCTCACCAGGCTCATCCAAGCATAGCAGAAATACATTAGCTTTAAAGGGTCATACAGGAAGTGTTTGTATGTTGTAGTTGTTAATATGACTACAAATCTCTGCTGGTCAACAAGAAAGAGATCCTGCCTACCAAGTATTTCAGTCAGTAGAAAAAGGATAGAAATTTCATCAATTCCCACACCTCCTCTGATCTTGTCTCAGCAATGCTGAAAGACATTGAGCAGGAAAATGTTCTCATGGGGAGCAGCAGGAAATGGGAATAATAACCATTGCTGCCTCTTCCAACTCTTCAAGTACACCAAGAGGCTGCAGAGGACTGGCATAGCAATGCCTGAATCCTCAGTTCACCACATACCCCCCTTTCAGGTATGTGCTCCTGTACCCCCTTACGCATAGTTGTGAAAACTGCTAATGTTTAATTTCCTCAAAATTGCATGTTTTTTTCCTTTATCTTACTATTTTTTTCTACTAAATCACATTCCCATTGTTTTCCACTGGTTTCCAAATGATTTTGGTTGTTTTCTGCAATTGAAATTTGTGATCTTTGGTTTGTGCTTGTGCCAAAACAATCAATTTTTTGCAATAATTGAAAGATTCATTTGAAAATAACTGTTTGAGGTTGTTAAAGGTTGTGCAAGGAAGGTTCAGTCCCAAAATCATTGAGTTTCAATGGTTTGTTTTTGAGATATCTGCAACAAAAAGTTAAAACCCATAGACAGGTAAAACCCATAGACTATTAACTAAACAAGATTAAGGAGTTGGATCTAAGTGCACCTTTCTGGGTTTTTCAGTAAAGTACAAAACAATGGAAAGTTTTACAAAGTTGGTGTTGTTCCTTGTGCTGGTGATGGATCCAGATGTGTCATATGGCAGGTGCAATGCTCAAGATGGCCACCTACTGTGTTTGGAGGCCTGCTTGCCAGATGTTTATCAAGCCTTGGAGTTAGATGGAACAATTGTTGTGATGGGTCCAGTGTTGGATTTTGGAAGCGTCAACCTTTTTGGTATCAAGGTACAGATGTGCAACGTGGTATTTTGACAGTTTTAATTGATTTTTGGTGGTTTTGATGAGGAGGAATATGGAGAAAATGAAGAAGAACTTCTACCCAAAGGCTACATCAACAAAACAGAACAATACTTAGGAAATGAGTATTAATCAGAACCTCAAAACCCTCTCAGTCAAGGTTACCAGTTGTCATCATACACAAGAACATCACCTGCTTTCCAGCTAAGTTCTTGGTAGATTATGGTTCTGAGATTTCTATTTTATCACCTAAAGTTCTAAAGCCTGAAATATCACCCATATTGTTGGCAATGAACATTGCAACAATAGAAGGAAGTGAAATGCCCATTTTGGGCATGTTGTTTGTAAAATTGTATTACCATAGTGTATATTTAACAATTGCAAGTTTTGTATTGTTTGAGATACACAGACACAAGTTTGAAGGGATAATGGGAACTGATTAACTTAGGCTGATTCTTGTGTTTCAATTTATAAATTTATTTTTTCATTCTGGCCTGACAAGGGGAATGTAAGTTATCTAGTTGTTTTCTTAGAGAATCTCATACTTCTGAGTCGGAGGTGGATCAATGTCTAATGCAGATTTGATTTTAGGAATCTTGTCTGCCATTCTGGCAACATTGCACAACTTCTGCTTGTTCACCAGGAATTAAATCAAGTAGTTTCCTACCCACTATAGTACTGTTTACAGCATGTCTTGCAGCATGTCCAGATGGGAAAGGTTTGGAATTCCAGTGGCAATCACTATTCTGAATACAATACTTCAGTTGTTGACTTCACACAGACTTGTTTTTACTGCATTCTACATTTCTACAACACTTTTCTGCAAAATGTTGGCAGAGGTCTGGATTTAGCTTGCTTTTTAGTTGAGTGTTTCTTTTTCACAATCCTTAACCTTATTGTTAGCTACTCACCCTGGGTAAAAAAAAACGGTGCTCCAAATTATGTTATCCTATTTTGATTGGTATTTCAATAAAAAGAGCAAATCAATTGCCCAAAATACCTTCCAAGACTAAACTAAACCACTAGGACGTAGAAATTTGACCCTGTTACTAAAGGTTTTCTTCAACACAAGAATATGGACTCCAACATTATTCAACTGTTCTGAATATAAAGTCACTCATAACGCGTTCACTCGTTCGCAAAGCTTACTGCAGCAATAAATACCAAGTACCTAGACGAGAGGGTCTTCATAGATTCAGTCTACTCTTGGGAAAGGTGGAGGACTGCGCAACAGCATAAACTAGGACAAACTAGGTAAAAAGGGGAATGACCAGTTGCCAGAGGAAAAAACAAGACAATGACAGTGACACCCATCCTTTCACACACATGTTACTAAGCAACAATGCAATGCGTATTCTTTAAGTGTTTCAGAACACTGATAATATGATGACGCAGTGATTATTGGTACTCAATCCTCATTCTACTTTTTCAGGTATGTTCCAGCTGCCATACTCTCTTTAAAAGTCTGTAACCCAGAAACCGAATTGCGATTATTTTCTTTTCTCCATATATGGAGAGAGATCCTTCTCTACAAGGTATCCGTTTCCTTGCAGCTGTTCCCCTTTTGTTTTGGTTCCCCCTCCCTCACATCCGCCCGCATTAATGCGTGACGGTCGTTATTGCGCGTTTCTCCTTTTCAACTTGCTATTTGTCGACAGTGACAAAT